CACTTTATTCGTACTTACGATACAATACTAAAATGCACCTTATATTCGTATTGATTGATGCAGTCCACTCCTTACCCTATTCATTTATCTAATATTTGTTGGAGATGGCTGATTCTTGAACTTGAAGATGTGCAAACATTGTTCTATACGATGAATATAAAAACGAATTTGGATAAAAAAATGGACTTGACTGGTTTTTGCACCGAACCCTTCATTGGTTTAGCATTTTAATTTAGACCTGAAGATGACCAGAAAATTATAGTGGTCGAAACCGGTCCACAAACTAAACAAGCTAAACAAAATTCATTGAGTAAGTTTAAACATTTATTTCTACAACCCTGTTTAAAATTGATATGTGCAACCAATTCAGTATTTTTAGTATTATTTATTAAACTTATTATAAACTAACAAACTAAATTTCTAAATAAGGAAAATAGCTTCTTTATTTGAATTCCTTCTAATATTACAAGATAGGTTGTAATTATAATTACAATAATATTAAGATTACGGTTAATAAAAAACTATTTACTATTAATTCATCCAACTATAAGTAGGTCTCCGGTTGATCACATATTCTTTTTGTTTACTATTTTCTTTTTTATTTAACAAAAAAAGTGATAATTGCATTTTTATTTAACTCAAATATTTGTTTCCTTAAACCAAATAAATGAGAGTAGTATTGTAATAGGCCAACATCTTTTGCCTACAACAATTTGTAAACCTTTCAACTACAAGAATACAAGAATGAAAAATGTTTACACGACAATCACCGAGCAGTAAATCAGAATGATAGTCGTAGTCATCCCTGTGAACAAAAGATCCGTCGCCGTTTGGAGCAACCGCTAACAATGTGACCCCCGTCGCCATAACAAACGCTAAACATCCAAAATCGCAGATAAATTGGCATCGGAAATGCTGCTAGAATGTTAAAGTCAACACCGGTGAATAGAAAACCAGACCCCGGTTAAAAAGGCAGGGTAGGCCAGGTGTCAAAAACACAAAAGCCATGAAATCGACCCCACGCCCCATAAATTTTGTCCTCATAATCTAACCGAAGATAAATTGCTCACAAGTTATATTAAAGGAAAGATTATGTAATCTTGTAAAGATTTTGTTAAAGAATGAGAAATTTAAAAGGAACGAAAGGAAGTAAGCGTCAGACAAAATCTAAAAATCTCAGTTAGATTATACCTATTATTGTTCAATAAACAGTACACACCAAATTTTTATTTTATTTACTGTATTTTCAGAACAAATTTTATATTGAAAATTGTTATTTTAAATTGTTCTATTTTACTTTCTGTTATATTTTTAAAGGGTAAGGGTTGTTGCAGTGGTTCCCCGTTGCAGAAGGCAACGGGGAACCACTGCATTAAAGACACGGAGAGTACCCCTAGTACAATTAACATTGCTACGACAAATCATAGAAACCATATTACTGATCATGGAATTCGGATACCAAGATCCGGCAGAGAAGGACAATCACAAGACGGCAAGGCCTTCTCGGTCGCCAGCAGAAGAAATCCTTGCCATTATAATAGAAAGATAAACCTCACGATCTGCACATGGAATGTTAAAACATTATATGAGGCAGGCAAGACTCATAATGCAATCAAGGAGATGGATAGACTATCAATAGACATAATGGGAATAAGTGGGATGAGATGGCCGAACTCTAGGCAATGTAAAATTAATGATCATCATATCTATGACTCAGGTAACCCTAATGGAAGACACGAAAATGGGGTAGGTATAATCTTAAATCAAGAAACTGCCACATGTTAAAAACTTTGTACCTATATCGGAAAGAATACTCCTCCTTCAACTTAATACCTACCCAATTACATCTAACATTATCCAGGTATATGCCCCTATAGCTGACAAGCTGGACGAGATAAGTGAAGCATTTTATAACGAACTAACGAACACCTTAAAACGCCTCCCCAGAAAGGATTTAACTTTGATTATGGGTGATCTAAATGCCAAAATTGGTAGGGGACAATCGGGAGAATTCATAGGACAATTTGGACTTGGAGAAAGAAATGAGCGAGGAGACCGACTGGGTGAATTTGTAGCAGAAGAAGAGTTTGTGATTACTAACGCTTACTTCAAACTCCCACACAGAAGATTATACACATGGAAATCACCTCAAGATACTCCAGGCCGTATAGTGAGAAATCAAATAGATTACATTCAGATTAATAAAAGATTCCGGAACAGCATAACATCAGTCAAGACATACCCAGGAGCTGATATCAAATCAGACCATAACCCACTGATTGGCAAAATTAGGCTCAGGCTAAAGAAGGTTAGACGTAGTGTCAATCCAAAATTCGACATCAAGCTATTAAAAGACCAACACACAGAATATAGTGTAAAACGGTATATACAGAACAATTTGAATACCGTTATTCAATCGGATGTAATGGATCAGGAGCTAGAAAAGTTACATACAGTTTCAAAAGACATACGAGAGAAATTTCTCAAACCACCAAAAATTAAGAAGAAATCCAGGATGACAAATGAGATTCTAGATATGATGGAAAAGAGGCGAAAGTTTAAAGATCAAGACATGTCATTATACAAAAGAATCGATAAAAAGATCAAAAAAGCTATTAGAATAGCTAAGGATACACATCTAAGAAAACAGTGTTCGGAAATACAGCAATTGCAACATAAACACGATACATTTAATATGCACAAAAAAGTTAAAGAACCTAGAAGAGTTGGATGTTTGGCAGATAACCAAGGTAAACAACTGTTAACCGTGGAAGAAAAACTAGACACTTGGAAGAATTATGTGGAAGTAACTTTTGCAGATGAAAGGCAGACTACCATTGAAGACACTGAATGCCAAACAGGACCCCCGATTACCATTGAATAAGTCACGTTAGCTATTAAAAGAACTAAAGATGGTAAAGCGGTAGAGCCTGACGAATTTTGTGCAGAATTCCTTAAACTTATGGATGAACAGGGAATAAAATGGATAACAACTGTATTCAACAACATATACGTAACTGGAAAAATACCCCAAAGCTGGTTAAAGTCGACCTTCGTGACCATACCAAAAAAAGTAAATGCCAAGACATGCGAAGACTACAGAACAATTAGCCTAATTAGCCACTTACTTAAAACGTTCTTGAAAGTGATACACGGCAGAATATATAAAAAATGAGAAGAACAAGTATCATGGACGCAGTTTAGATTCCGCGAGTCCTTAGGCACCCAAGAGGCTCTATTCGCTGTCCAAGTGCTATTTGTGTATATAAGTGTATATTTGTTTTATCGACTACAAAAAGGCATTTGATAGAGTAAAACATGATAAACATCTTGAAAGAAGTGGGGTTGATGATAGAGACTTGAGAATCATCTATAATTTATACTACAACCAAACAGCCAATATTAAAGTGGATGATCAATTGACAGAGGCAGTCTCCATAGATAGAAGAGTGAGGCAAGGATGCATTCTGTCCCCGGTGTTATTTAATATATACTCTGAATATATCTTCGAGCAAGCGCTGGGAGAACTACAAGAAGGTGTATTAGTCAACGGAATGCGTCTAAACAACATTAGATATGCCGACGACGCAGTAGTTTTTGCAGATAGTCTGGACGGTTTGCAAAGAATAATGTCGCATATATAAGTAGAGAACACGGACTTGATCTTAATACGAAGAAAACAAAGTACATGTTAGTCAGTAAGCGCGAAATATTAAATACACAGCTTTTGGTTAACCAACATCCAATTGATAGAGTGGACAGCTACACACACCTTGGTACCAACATTAACAGCCAATGGGATCACTCCAGTGAAATAAAACAACGCATAGGAAAAGCGAGATCAGCGTTCATAATGATAAAGTCTCTTTTCAGAAGTCATGATTTATCAGACTCTACCAAAATCTCTCTCATTAGATGCTATGTATTTTCTACCTTATTATACGGAGTAGAGGCCTGGACACTTTCCGAAGCTTCCTTAAGAAAACTCGAGGCATTCGAGATGTGGTGTTACAGACGTATCTTAAGAATTTCATGGGTGGATCGTGTGACTAATGTTGAGGTCCTACGTAGAATAGGCAAGGAATGCGAGATTATTAATACCATCAAAGAGCGCAAACTAGAATATCTTGGCCATGTTATGAGGAATTAACAGAGATACGGCTTGTTGCAACTCATTCTTCAGGGTAAGGTATTTGGAAAGAGAGGACCAGGGAGAAGAAGAATATCTTGGCTTCAAAACCCGAGAAAGTGGTTTAGTACATCGACAACCGGACTATTCAGAATAGCAGCAAGAAGGTTAGGATAGCCATGTTGATCGCCAACATCCGGAACGGATAGGCACCGTAAGAAGAAGAAGAAGGGTTGTACACCTCATAATACAGGGTAAAATCGTCAGAAGGAGAGGCCCAGGCCGAAGAAGAACATCCTGGCTCCGAAATCTCCGATAATGGTATCATCGCACTATCGCTAATTTATTTAGAGCCGCCGTTAACAAAATTATTATTGTCAATATGATCGCCAACGATCGATAATCGGACAGGATACTGAAAGAAGAAGAAGATACGATCTAATAGGTTTTGCTTTATCGTCCCCTTAATACTACAACTAGGTAACTCGAAATTTTACGATTTTGAGTTATCTACCGTTACCAATATAATTTTTGACGCTCTTTTTAATACTACAACTAGGTAAGTTCTATGCCCATTCTATACATGAAAATCCAATTACACACTAATAGCTATGTCATAAGTTGGAAAAAAAAATTGTTGCTAAAAGTGGTCATATTGAAATATCTAAATGTGCAACTGACAACGCCAAAAATTTCTGCTGCAACAAGTGTTTAACTTGACATACCTAATTGTGCGCCCGGGTAACTCGTGTTATGCGTTGCCTCCTCCGGATATTCTTTAAGATACCTATTTGTGCAGTTCATCATAGCATACGTTGTGAGTGACATTGTTGCTTTATTTTTCGTAATATTTTTTGAAACAAAAGTAAAAATGTCTACAAGAGCCAAATATATATTAAGATTAGTACGTGACCAGTTAACAGAAACAAAAGGTGAGTGTTTAAATACTATTTGGAAAAATAAATTTGTTAAAATCGTGGGAGAGCTTATTTTTATAGGTTAGGTATTTGTCGATTCATTAGTTTTTGAACATAAATATAAAATTGATACCGTAGGATACCATTTTTATGTGATAAGCATAATATGCCGAGTATGCATATTATGGTGAACTTATTTTTAGAACTTTTAGAAATTTAGTAAAACCTATGAAAATAAATTTGTAAAACGCTGTTGTTTAAAAAGTTTTAGGTTATCATTATTTACATTTTTTAGCGGTTTAAGACTAAAAAACTATTAGACTATTTAAGATTCGTTAAAGTTTTTTAAATAGTTGTTTTTTGTAAAACGTATAGGTAGGTATCTTTCATTCGCAAAATTTAAAAATATAAACATTTCTTTAAACTTAGTTTAAAAAGTACTAAAGTATTTTTTATTTTCAGATGAGAATACTGAGGTCCTTCCATCCACTTCTAAACAATGTTATAACGATTCGGAAACAGACTCTGATCCCTATTCTCCTGATCACTCGGAATATGATCCGGACTCTGATGATTCTTCTGACAATGAACTTGCTCTCGGAAATGGAACTTTTCAAACTATTAACAACGACTTGCATGACATGGAAGAGTTGCCTGTTACGACAGATAAGTCAAGAAAGAGGAAAAGAAATGAACAAAACTGGAAAAGAAATATTGCAAAATCAAGAAAACAACGCGGCGAAGCATACTTATCTTCTAGGGGTAAATACGTACCAGGAGTAGTCATGAAGGATGCTTGTTTAGCTACCTGTAAACGAAAATGCACAGAAAAATTTTCCTATGAAGAGAGATTGTCGATTTTTCGAAGATATTACCAGTTAGAATCCTATGAAAGAAAACGAGACTTTATTAATGGCCATACAGAAAAGAAAGATAAAAAATGGCATACTGCAGAACAGTCCAGACGTCAAAAAACCATTTTATTCTATTTACCTAAAAATTCGAATAGAATCCAGGTTTGTAAAACCATGTTTATCAATACCCTGGGAATTCGAAAAGGAATTGTAGACATAGCTATGAAAAAGAGAACTGAAGAAAACACGACTTTGGTAGACAATCGGGGAAAACATACAAAAAAGATCACGTCACCTGCTATCCTAGCAAGTGTAAAAAACCATATTGAGAAGTTCCCTGTAGTCAGTTCACATTATTGCCGTTCAAAAACACAACGGAAATATTTATCCTCAGACCTTAACATCACCATTATGTATTCATTATACAAGAAAGAATGCGGTGAAAACAATCAAACACCAGCTAACTCTGCCATTTATAGAAAGGTATTTTCAGAGGAATATAATCTTGGCTTTTACCGACCTCGTAAAGACCAGTGCCGGGTTTGTATGGCCTACAACTCCCCCTTAAGCGATAAAGCATCTATGGAAACCGAATATCTCACTCACATAGCAGCCAAGAACAGAGCCCGTGATGAAAAGAGATTAAGTAGACAGTTAGCAGAAAATTCTAACGGTACACTCATAAGTTGCAATTTTGATCTTCAACAAGTTCTTTTGGTACCAAATGACCCAACAAATAACGCTTTATTTTACAAACAAAGACTAAAAGTATTTAACTTCACCATTTATAATACAGTGTCTAAACAGGGTGATTGCTTCATGTGGACCGAGGTTGAAGGAAAACGAGGCAGCTGTGAGATTGCCACTTGTTTATACCAATACTTTGAATCTTTGCCGGAACAAGTAACTCAGGTTCAGTGTTTTAGTGATAGATGCGGTGGACAAAATTTAAATAAAAACGTCGCTAGTATGTGCTTAACAGCTGTTCAACATATTCCACATTTGGAAAGCATTGAACTAAACTTTCTAGTTTCCGGCCATAGTGAAATGGAGTGCGACTCCATGCACTCAGCCATTTCAACAGAGTTCAAAAGAGTAGGCAAAACACATTTACCACAAGATTGGAAAACAATTGCTAGATGTGCCCGGAGAAAAGGAGATAAACCGTACATCATTCATAACATTACTCACGAACAAATATTGGATTGGAAAAATCATGCGGATAAAATTTTAATTTTCAGAGGTAAGGACGAAAGTGGGCAGCAAGTAGCATGGCAGAAAATGTGTTGTATGTTCTTTTCTAAATGTGAACCATCCATTATGAAATTTAAAGAAAACTTTAACGAAGAATTTAGAACTTTAAATTGCCAGAGAAGGACAAAATCGACTCAAAATATAACTACAATAATGCCATATCCTTTGTATAAGGACAGAATCCCTATTAGTCTGGAAAAATACAAGGATCTATTGACATTGTTTAATACCAAACCTCCCGCAATTCCTCTGGAAAATAAGGATTATTTTGAAAACCTGCCTTTTAAAGCAACAGGAAGAGAAGTATCAAGTGAATCTGACATAAGTGAGACCGAGTGAAAGAAAAATATTGGCTATAATTATTAGTTAAGTTCTTCTACTTTTTTTGTTATATTTTGATCAAAATATGTTAATAAATTTCTTTTTTGGTATTAAAAAGTTGTACTTATTGTTACGTCGACAACTAGGTATATTTAATTTTTTTAAAAATTTTAATTGCTACAACTAGATATCTTGATTTTCAACAACAAAAAAAACTAAAACAAGGCTTTAGAACGCTTACAATTAATCAGAAGTTAGATTTATTTCAACTTCTTGTTATAAATAATAAGAAAAAAATTCATTTACTGTAATACAGCACGGTTTGTTTCTTTTCAAATTTAAAACTGCTCTCCTGAAAAATAGCAAATTTTGAGTTACCTAATTGTAGTATTAAGGGGACGTTATAATCTCAAAACTCAAATATGCATCGTAAAACGAAATCGAAGAAAATTTGGACATTGGTTAATTGCGACAGCAAGGCTTAAGTAAGCTACCTTGCTTCGTAAAGAACTGCGTAATTTTAATAAACTTAAGATTAATAGAAGCCAACTTCATCAATCGTTAAATTCCTTCTCAAAATCTGATGCTGTCATGTTTGATATGAGTGAAGTATATGAAAGACAAAAGCGGATAAACAATGTAATGATATTTAATTTTCCTGATTCTAATTCTGACCAAGCTTCCGTGGACGATCTAGTTAAAAATATTTCGTATACTCTAATTCCAGTAAAGCAGCCGATTATAGTGGGTATACCTACTAAAATGTCATTCAATTTATACGAGTAATTCCGTCAAATTCGCAAGAAGCCATGCAAATGCTTAAACATATAGAGAAGTTAGATAAAACTAAGAACATGTTTATCAATACTGCAGTTACTTTCAAACAAAGGGCACATTTTTTTAAAAGCTCTCAATGATGAAATCAGACATCGCAAGGAAAATGGAGAGAAACATTTGTTTGTCAAATACACTTAAGGCTAACCTAGTTTTTATTATAAAGGCACATGAAAAACCAATTTCTAACATCCCATACAAAACTCTGAACTGATGAAAAAACAATCTCTAACATCCCATATAAAAGTTAATTCATATCTCAGATGTGTTTGTTTCCAAACTTTTTTCCGGGTATTAATGTAGAGAATTATAGAGGTGTTAATGTGAAATTACTTTTGTCAAATAACCCCAATAGCCCGGTTCTTTTCCTTCTTATTTATTGACTCTACAACTCTAAATGAGTCTTGACCTCGTTTCCTATTTTCCTCTACTCTTGCCGTCTTGTGCAACAATTTCCTATTGTTGCAAATCTATCTTAAGTAGCTCACTCGTTACTGTATCCTTCCATCTTTTTCTTGGGCAACCAACTGACCTTCTGCCTGAGGGTCTTTCCCAGAAAGTTGTATTTAGTCGTGTTTCATCATTTGTTCTTAATAGAGGTTCTGTCCATCTTATAGGACAGATTTCTATTGATGTATCGTACTATGTTTTCGTCTACATAGAGTGCTTGGAATTCCTGGTTATGCCTTAGTTTGCACTCTCCTGTTATCTTCTCTCTACAAGGCACAAAGATAATTCGAATAATCTTTCGTTCTTTCTTTCTTTCTCCATTTCTTTTACCCTATCAGGGTGTCAGATTTAGGCTAGCTATTTTAATTTCCATTGGCTCATCTCTTCCATTCTTTTCTATTTCTCGGGATGATTTTTAATTCCACAAGTAATTTTTGTAAAACTTTTCCAGTCTCTACTGCTTGTAACTCTGTTGGGTTGCATCCTTATAAGATGCCCATACCAGTTCATTTGTCTCTTTGCTTTTTTATTCATTATGGATTATTGGTTCGCCATTTCCCTAATTGATCGTATATAGCTCGACCCAAATGCGAAGAAGATCATGAAGATACCCAATTTGGTTTTAGAAATGCTATGGGAACCAGGAAGGCACTTTTTGCGCTTAACATCCTATTACAAAAATGTCGTGACCAAAGAAAAGATGTATTAGCATGTTTCGTGGACTTTGAAAAGGCATTCGATAAAGTACAGCATGTAAAATTAATGCAAATACTGAAAAATATCGGAATATATGACAAGGATATTAGTGTCATTAAAAATTTGTACTGGAATCAAACTGCTATCGTAAAAATTGGAGATAACTACACCGATGAAATCCCCATACAACGAGGAGTCAGACAAGGTTGCATTTTGTCGCCAACATTGTTCAATGTTTACTCGGACCAGCTATTTAAAATGGCACTTGAGAGACAACCATATGGAATAAAAATCAACGGGGAACTACTTAATGTGATTAGATATGCAGACGATACAGTAATTCTATCAGATAATATTGAAGGTCTTCAAATTCTGCTTGATCGTATTCACGAGGTAGAAGAGGAAATGGACATTAAAATAAACTTAAACAAAACCAAATTTTTAGTGCTTAGTCGTGACCCACATCACGATGCAAAGCTTCAATTGAACGGAGTCCAACTTGAGAAAGTTCACAAAGTGACATATTTGGGAACTGTGATAACGGACCAACTAGATTCAGACATAGAAATAAAACGTAGAATAGCAATCACTAAAACTACTTTTATGAAAATGAAGTAATTTCTTTGCAATAACCATCTCAGTTTAGAACTAAGGTAAAGAATGGTTAAGTGATATGTTTGGTCTGTACTTTTGTATAGTGCGGAAGTGTGGGCGCTAAAAGTATCGATTATGAACAAAATTGAAGCATTAGAAATGTGGGTTCATAGACGAATGCTGAAGATACCTTGGACAGCAAGAAAAACTAATGAAGAAGTACTAAGGAACGTCAACAAAGACAGAGAACTGCTAAAGACTGTTAAACATCGAAAAATGTCTTATCTGGGACATATTGTAAGGGGAAGTCAATATAAAATTTTACAAATGATCCTTAAAGGTAAAATAGAGGGCAGTAGAGGTGTAGGAAGAAAACAAGTTTCTTGTTTAAAAAACATTCGCGAATGGACTCAGATACCACATGCTGGACAATTATTGCATATTGCAGAAGATCAAGAAGCCTTCGCAATGGTGATCGCCAACGTTGGATAGTTCTGACATGGCACGCAAAGAAGAAGATAGCTCGACCCATACCAGTTCATTTGTCTCTTTGCTTTTATTGGTTCTTGGTGGGCATTCTTCTAATAGACTCAGTGCTTAATCTATCCCATTTGGACTTTTCAATTATACTTCTTAGATGTCTTATCTCCATTGCATTTATTCTGATCTTAGGTTTTTCCAGAATTGCCCAGTTTTTACTTACATATATTTTTATTCTTGTCTCTCGTGTAAATTCTCTTCTTTTTAATATTAAGGCTAATAGTATATCGTGTTTGATTTCTTTACTCTATTTGTTATTTCTCAGTCTATTTTTCCGTCGTTAGTAATTATACTTCCCAGGTATTCGTAAGTTGTAACTATTTCTATATCTCAGTTTTTACATTTTACTTTTACGTCATTATCTTCTTTGCCGTTGATTATCATGATCTTACTTTTTTCCTCGTTTATTTCCATTTTTAGTTCTTCTATTTGTTCTACCGATATATCCATTAGTTGTTGCATTTTATTGTCGAAATCTACCATTAGTACTATGTCGTCTTCATATTTTAAGGACTCTATTGTTACCAGTTGTAATCTGGTAACATCTACGTTTCTACTGTAGTACTTTTTATCAATTTGTTCATTACTATTATAAATAGCAAATGGCTGAGACTATCTCCCTGGTTAATATATTTCTTTCAATTAAATTCTTCCGATTGTGCCAAATGCTGATCCTAGGTCTATGAATGCTAATACTAGTTTTCCCTGGGGCCAATCCTTCATTCCATTAGGTTCCTAATGATATATAAGCTGTCATTTGTCTGTCTTCTTAATCTAAATGCTGCTTGTTCTTCTTCCAATTCCATTTCTACTAGAACTCCTAATCTGGTGGCCTTAAGTCCAAGGATATGTAGAATCCGAAATAAAGGCAGGTTCTTTAATTACAGTATTATCAATATTTATGCTCCTACTGACAATAAAGAAGACGAGGAGATAGACATATTTTACGAGAAACTGAAAAACACTTACAGACAATGTCAGAATAACGACATAAAAATTATTATTAGTGATTTTAACGCTAAAGTCGGCCAAGAGACTATTTACCGACTCACGATCGGCGAGCATAGTCTTCATGCTGTCAGCAATCAAAATGGTTTATGCCTGATTGAACTCGCAGCATCATTGTGAAGGGTGGTAGTAAGTACATGTTTTCCTTACAAAAATATCCACAAAGCAACATGGCAATCACCAGACGGTCAAGCAAAAAACCAAATTGACCATGTACTAATTAATAGTCGAAATTTCTCGGACGTACTAGATGTAAGATCATGTAGAGGTGCTAATATAGACTCTGACCACTACCTTGTAAGAACAAAACTCAGGGCACGTATATTAAACGCTAAGAAGAGTCATTGGACAAAATCTACGAAATATTGATCTGAAGCTGAAGTGCTAAAATCTGAAGACGCTAGGGATAATTACAGGAAAATTTTAAATGAAGAGCTGACAGGAATCGACGAAAATTTAAGTATAGAAGAACACTGGACCAAATGCAAGCTATCCATATAGTGGATTAAGGCTTTTTAAAACCTAACCAGGCTGAAATTAACGAAGATTGGTTTGACGAAGAATGTAGATCCATTAACCAACAGAAAAATGAAGCATATAAGAGATTTCAGCAGCGCAGAACAAGATCAAATCTGGAAGACTATGAAAATCTTAGACGAGAAAAAAAAGGACGTTTAAAAGGAAAAAGAACGAGCCATACTAAAACGCTCTAAACGAAATTGTTAGACCATAATAGAAAAGATTGTAAAAATGGACTGAGACAGTGAGATGTATCGTCGTGTCTCTTATTTACCCTTGCACTAGAAAAAGTAATTCGAGAGTGCCATATTAATACGAATCTTTAATAAATATGTACAAGTGGTCGGATATGCAGATGATATAGACATTAATGCTAG